TCGTTAAACATTTATTTGTATGTCATTGACAGAGTAAGATGGTCATGTCAAAATGATTTAAGCTTATTTGAATAATATTGAATTCACAAATAATAATTCCCATTATGTTTAGTGCATTTGTACTAAAATTAATGAATACACACATTTAATTGTTCAATTTCGAATCCTAATAACTAACAAGCCGTGTGGAGTATTATGAAATATGATTTTAAATTAAATATAAATAATCAATAAAACTTGATGGGCTCATTGGCCGAAAGGAAAACAAATTATGAGAGTCACTTTAAAAATGAACAAATTCGAGATAGCCGTAGCAGAGAGGGAGGGAAGATAATTTTAAAACAAATACAGAAATGAGAAAAAGCAAATATGAATTTAAAACAAAAGGCCATTATGAATAATGAAATTTATATTGCCCTGGAGCGCTAATTACAAGTAGAAGGTTGAAATAAATTGTTATTGGCTCTGTGGTTACGTTTTTAATTAAGAAAATGTTTCTGAGTAGCGAGCACTCATAAAACGTTTATTAAACATATGGTTCATTTCCAAACGAATCTGTGTGTAACTTTTTTAAATCACTAGTAACGTCTGGAGCCATAATTCAACGCCGGTGTGAAAAGTTTAAATTTAATTAGATAAAATTTCCATTAATATAATTTATTAGATTCGGTTTTTATGAAAACGAYCATTTTTTCTTTTCCTTACAGAAATCTCAAAACTTTTTTTGATTACAATACATTTCCACAATTCAGTAGGTACCTAGCGCGTCAGTTTAACCTTTACATTATRATAGCTGTCTGGGAAGCCTTTAATGACTTACATGTTTGACCTTACGCTTGCGATAGTTGTCCGGACGAGTATTTAAAAATCATTTTGACTTACATATTGTAGTGCATTCTTTACATGATGATAATAATATTAGGTACATCATTACCGGGATGCGACTTTACACGAGATCAATCGATTTAAAAATAGATAACAAAAGCAAATTAAATTTTTTTTATCTACTCAAAAATTGCATCAAAAGTCGTGAGATAGCTTTATTATCTATGATAATGGCATTGTATAAAAACGGTTTGTCTTAGTCGSTTGGTCCTCGTATAGTTTTGTAAAAAACATGCGTATTACTGTCAGAACGATTATGCACGATCGAATTTCCGGTCTCACGATAACAAAAACCGAAATAAAATTAAAATTCGCTAAAACCCAATAACATTTTCGTAGTATATTAATAATGATATTATCATACAGCCGTCGCTTGAAAACGCACGATGACACGTGGCGGGATCCAACAGATTTTGGCACGCCGAATTCGGACGGCCTTCGGTCACATTATTGATTCATAACACAAAAATAAATTTTTTTATTAAATCATAAAATTATGATAAACGTTTTGACGTGTTTTTTAAAATTAATTTTATTTCCAGACATTTCACACACCGAGTTTCGGGGACGAGGGTTTCGACATCCCGTCGATGGGCAATCAAGGAAACAACTCGACCACCTCGCCGAGTTGTAACAACGTGTCGAGTCAATCTAATGGTTCGGCCGATTCTATAATCACTTCGCACACGCAACCGCAGCCATCGACTTTGGCATATCAACACAGTCAAGTGAGTAGTGTGTTTTTTAAAAACTCATTGGTTGCAATATTAAATAACAGTTTGGTAACTGGGGCTCATAGTTATTGAATTCGAATATTTTTATTTAATGATCCAAAAAAACGTCTTGTAAGAAAATGATTGAAAAAAAATATCACTAAATATTTTTAATATTTTTGATTAAATAAGTGATTGGTATTTTAAATGATGATTTTTTTTTTCGGAAAAACATTATTGTACTTCAAACATAAATARCTCAAATTATTATAATAACGAATTTTCAGAACGCAAGCAAGTTAGATATTTATCTAAAATAATAAATATTTTATTAATAGTCTTTTTGTATTGTGATTTATTCATTTTCTGGTAATTTTATTTTGCTAGATTTGTCGATAACAACAACCAAGTTCATAGTTTTTACATCATATTTGAAGAATTTTTATTGTTTGTAAATGCAACTACTCTACTCAAGTTCTAATCAAATATAATACCTATGTTATTATTATGATTTCTGTCGCAGATTTACAACCACATACACATCATACACTGATTATTTATTACACAGTATTATGTGATAGTAATATAATATGATATAATATCTTGTACATATAGTCGTAGAATATTATTTTCAATCAGCTGGTTCGTACTTTGAAAGATGCGTGGCGAATGCTTCTGCCGATTCGATCGATTGGACTCCAAAAATAAAAATATTTAATCATTTCCTCTAGCATGTTTTACGGATCGTTTATTATTATTCGATCATGATTTATGAGTATACTGGTTTTGTGTTTTTATTAAATTTCATCATACGGTAGAAATTTCCCTTTGATAAATGCGAGTATTTATTATCTTTGGTTTTCTTTTAAACGGACGGTCTGCCATGATGTATGTTAACACATTAATACTACGATTTTTTCTCTYTATGTCACTCCCAATATTTATGAGGCAAATCGTTTTATTTTTTTTWAAACTTTGTTTCTTTATTTATAGTGTTATATGACCGACGGCTAATGTTTTGACACAAGATTCATAATTCCCAATGAAAAAAAAAGTTAAAATAACAATAACGATAAATCTTTTTGAATATTATTATCACGATGGGGTAATGTTATAAAATTTCTCTTTTTATGAAAAAATAATTATTATTAGACGAACAAAATCGATTAAAATTTAATAATATCACAATCAATTTTATGTTTTAAATTTTAATATTTAGTTWAAAAAAATATTTATGTTATATACATATTTTGTAGTTTTTACTGCTTTTTAATAAAAACAATTTTAATTGTATATGCTACGTCAAAATTGATGTTAGCATAGCACTTAATAATCATAATTTAGTGTATTACAAATATTTTAAAGAAATTGCTTTTAATTTTTTTGTTGCAGTCGCAATTTACATTTTATTTTAGTTACTCCTCGATACGTTTTTCCTATATATCTTAAACACATCATAAACAAAAAAAACATATAGCAATAATAATAATAATAATAATATGATTGTTTAAATACATAAAAAAAAGGAATGGAATAATTATAATGAAGAAACCATTCACAAATAATATTTACAATTAGGTAGTACCTATAGAATAACTATAAGACAAAAACAAACCAATTTAACAAAATATAATTTGAATTTAAAGCTGTCATCATTGTGTGCCACGTATTCTATATATAATACTATATATAGATTTAAGATGATGGAGATAATATAACATTGTATTTTTTTTTTTTAGCAGATGATGAATCACCATCACCCACAGGACACAGGCATGCAGGGAATGAACTCGCACAACTCACACCATTCGCATCAATCGGCTTACCAACAGCCACTCTACTTGACCGGCCACGAACACGGCCTGGGCCTGAACGTTAGGTATGTGGTTCTAAGCCGATTATACATCGAGCTAAAATGTTTTATTATTTTTAAATAAATGTTAACCGTCGTAAAAGTGTATTTGTTTTAGTACTTACCTACCCGTTGTTTTTTATATTGTACCTGTTCGTTATAATATATGATACCTACGTATACGATTAGTAAACGTCATTGACGACTTAAAGTGTATGACGATCGCAGTCTCCAAAATTCAGAATATTATGTTACAGGGATAGTATAATAATAGATGGTACCTACAAATAATAATATGTTCGCAATTCAACTGTCCCGTTACAACGATTTGTCGGTGGATGGAACGGATCGGTTGAATGTCGATAGAATAACTTTTGTYGCCTTTACTAGTTTACTATATATACATTAAACTGCAAGAATACAGTTTGGTTAAACTGTTGCACAAGTTTCTCTACTTTTATTAAATTAGTTAAAATTTATTACGTCGACAGTTAATATTTAGTGATTATTTTTAACTAATATCCAAACAAGAGTTATGCTATGAATATAGTACAAACAAATTACGTAACTCTCTGCTCGAGTTCAAGAAACATTATTAATTCAAAACACTCAAACACAAATAACGCAGCGTTCGTTAATTGAATTCACCACGACGTCATTTTAATGTAGATGAATCTATAAGATATAATTTATTGAATGCAATTAAAACTTGATGTGTATACATTTATGTAATGTATTAATATTTAATAGTACTGGTAATATTATACTCGTATTCTATTATAGCCGTTTTAGTATCTAGTAGAATATTAATAAATCCTTGCTAATAATCAATTTAGTAATTAAAAACTGATCAATGATTAACGAGCGGTCCATTAATAAATATTAAATTCGGGTCGAGGAGAGACGGAAGTAAAACTTTCTCCAGAGTGCACTTTGAGAGTTTTCAGGTTAAATACGGACGCTGATTTTATACGTAGATTAGAATTATGTTTAGACAGCTATTTAAAATTAGAATTTCTAAAAAATCTCTTAACGATGTTATCTAGAAATATATGTTTTCTGTCATGTATATGCACAGTTAATGTGGATTGTTATTTTGAATTACCCTTTAAATTATTTTTACGTTAGCCAAAACATTAATTTAGTAGAATATATGATGAAATGACAGTAAATTTATTTAATTCCTAAGCTCTTATCTAGAAAAAAGACCCATAACAGGTTATTTCTTAGTGATTATGTTTTACCAGACAACAACTTATGTTACAACACTCTCTGTCGGGGCTTTTATAATATTTATGTGGCGAGATACCACACTTTAGTATCACGAAATATACTAATTGTTTGTGTTTATTACAGTTCCAGTTAYTCTCAACCGAGCTACACTCCGTTGAACAACACAAATACCACAAATGGTGGACAAAATGGCATGATGTACCATCGGCACCACCAAGCGTCCAACCAACAACAACAACAGCACCACCAAGCGTCCAACCAACAGCAGCAGCAGCAACAACAACAGCAACAGCAACAGCAACAGCAACAGCAACAGCAACAGCAGCAGCAACAACAGCAACAGCAACAGCAACAACAGCAGCAACAACAGCAACATCATCATCAGCAGCAACAGCACCCACCCACCCACATGCCACAACCCACCCATATACCCACACACCACTACACCAACATGGGACCACCAGCCACCAGTCCATTGACCCCTTCACTGGACATGCACCGGCACTCCAATCCCACACCAACGCCGGAAGGCATAACCACTACCAGTGACGATAGCGATGACAGCACACCGCACCAAACTATGGTAAGTCCTAAACTGAAGTCAGTACTAGAAAACTGTATTTTTGGTTGAGGGAAAATAGGTTAAGTTAAAAAGTAATACGGTTTTCTTAATAGATCGTCGCTGATTTTTCTAAAAGTTCTTAGAAACACTATCCGGTACAACCAGTACAWCATCCAATGCCCCAATGGTTGAGAAATGTTTAAATCTCTCCCCTCTCTAACTTTCTCTCACCGTTTTCCAAACACGATACTGTAAAATGACTACTGTGCTTCGTTCACCTTGACCTCCACATGTCATCGTGTTTGACGTTGGCTAATTTTTTATGTTACGTGTCWCTATAAATCATCGGAAATGAAACCATTAATGGCTACGTGTCACAGTATTCTCGGAAGCTGGTTAAAAAAAACTTAYTAAAGCAATTTAGCTCAAAATGTTTTCGTATGATGATTATACCGTACCATTCGAACACGTTTAGCTAATATTCTGTCTTAACACGACATATGTGTACTGCGACGATCTAATGATTCAAACATTTCAAACCACCCAAACAGGCAACGTACATTTTACGGTTTTGTAATATTTCATGACGATCGTAAACGATTCTTTTTCAGTCGTGGTGAAGGGATTCATGGCCCAGGATCTAGATAGCGTAATTTAACTTCCAATTGTTATTTTTTTCCGTTGTTGTTGCTGTTATTCACAACTTCAATTTCCTGTTTATGTTTTTTGAGTGTTCAAAGTAATCCAATAATGTCATGTAAAGTGAAATAAAAATGGGTAGGTGTTTTCACTGTAAAATTCTAGGCAATTCCGTTTGAATAATGTATGCAATTTTATGCAAAGGGTAGGGTTTATATTGCCTCTAAAAAAATAAATATATATATACATATATTTTCTTCACATCCATATTTCATACGGTATTTTCGGGTTAAAAATGTGTTATTATCGTATGGTGCTCTCATACATATTTCATGGAACCTGGGTAATATATATGTATATGTATYTTAGTTAATATTTATCAAATAATTGAATGCTATTTGCATGGGCTTTAGTAAAAAGAAAGATGTTAATAATACAAAAGAAACATAATATTACCTATTCGAAAATGTGAGAAATATGAAATAAACAAACTCCGTTTACTTTGAAGTTATAAGAAGGGTGAATGTTAATATTATAATATTTCATTGGCCAATGAAACGCGTGTACCTATAGGTGTATAGAGGTAAATGTCTTGGCGGGATTCACCTTACCGTWATTTATTCCAATTTTTTTTCAGCTTGCAATCAAGAGGGAAAGGCTATCTCCCGAACCGTTAGATGGATGCGGGATCATGAAAATGCAACAAAAGAAGCCGAAACCGACCAAAAAGAAAAAGAAAAGGGATCCCAACGAACCACAAAAGTAAGTAGTTTTATTGTCGACGAATAATTGGTGTTGTTTAACGCGGCCTTACGAAATTAGACGAAAAATAAAGACGAAGTCGACGAACGGTATCCGATCGCGTGTAATAATTATCGTCCGACTATTTCCGGGGTTGTAGCAGTCGTGTGCTGCAGCATGTACCTACCGTATACACGATACATTATAATACTCTCAGCAAAACACACCCTCCTATTTGGCGTGTGTTTTTATCTGTAAACGAAAAGGGAGAGTTTTATAATGTTATGACTCGGATCAATACCCGGTGCAGTCTGTTGCTGCTCGGAAGTTTTCAAACCAAATTTTCTACACCCTTTTTATGCACCCCTCAATATGTGCCTWTTCATGGCATTCATTTTAGTCGGCTCTTCCGYGAAAATKCTATTTTGTCGTCGTCACTGAGCGCTGCGAAATTAGCTTCGTCGGTTTCGAGAAAAACGCTTTTCACACGAGTACCGTCACTCGGCTGGCTGATTGGCGTTTACAGCAGTTTTCTGTCCGAATCGACGGTTATAGTTTTATAATATCTCGCTAATATATATACTCAAAATGTTTTATTCTTGTATTTTTTTTTTTTTAAGTACGTACAAGTTTAGGAATCCCTGACAACGTTTGGTATATTATGTGTACGTGCGTGCATACAAAATCATATATATATAATATGTGTATATGAGTGTGAGCGCGCAAGTGTGTATGTGTGTGTGTGTGTGCATTTGTATTTATTTTTAATGCTACGAAGTTTGTAGTTTGAACAGCTGCGCCATTATATACACACATTTTTAACAGTTTAAAAATAATATGTTTGACCTTTCAAGGGTAAATCTTGGAAATAATTACTTTAATTACCAGTAATATGTTTTTTTTTCATGTTTCCTTTGTGTATTTAATTATTTAATAAATCATTCGAAGGAGCGAAAATATAATATTAAATCCTCGCAATGGCGTCCAAATCTTCATAGTAATATGTTAATTACACTCTGTACTGACAGTGTTGATCGACTACGTAAATTTAAAACTCTAAATCAAAAACGGTKTTACGGGTTAGGTTATTTAAAGAATTTCCGTTGTTTATTTTAAGACTTGGTCTCCGTGACTTTTACTTGTACATTATYATACTGTTATTGTGCCACGTATTCAACTTTATCACACGACGATATTATTATAGTGATCGTGAAAATCATAACGTRTAGGTTAGGTATTGTTATTTAAATAGAAAAATAACCATTTTACTGCGAAAAATGTGGTGACTTTACAATGACGCATTATAAAACAACTACAACAACAACAACAACAACAACAATAATAATAATGATAATAATACAAATACAAATAGTGCAATAACGTCAAGTAGCCGCGTGTATTAGCCTCATGAGCAGCCAGTACCCAATGTTTACGTTGGTCCTTCTATGCGGATCTTTCTTAACTAGATATATATAATATATATATTCGAAACACATGTCCGGTAGACAGTAGGGTGGGAACGGGAGARGTCTTTTGTTGAGCTCTCATTAGGAATAATTTATGTTTCGTTTTTCTCTGCACGCCATTGTTACCAGCAAATGGTCTCCGCGAAGAGTCTCCTCGTGTCGTGCTATTATTTCCCTCCTCTTATTTTTGTTTGTGCACACACAAAACGGCTGTACACTCGTAACTACTTTACCCCTCCCCCTCAAAAAAATAAAAATAAAAATAAAATATTTACTAAAAAAACAGAAAAATACACATTTTATCAAAAAGAAATTCCCAGGTGATTCGAATTTGTGTTCACAGCGAAATAAATAATTGTATTTACACAATTTTGCACTGGCGCTCGGACGGTATATTATAATATAGTTAATGATAGCGATAGTTTATTATATTGTAGTTAGGTAAACAATATTATATTCTATTGTCACGTTCTACCGTTGAAATGAAATAACGTAGTTATAATAATATTATCGTATCTATAATGGAAAACCAATAAAATGAGTTACTTCAACTTGAACGTCTACTTACTTTTTTACGCCTTGTACCTAATGTACCTACTATAAACAGTATAAACATGTTAGTAACCTATTTTTTTTTTTAAAGATAATTTTTAATTTTTTTATGAATATGAATTATATTATATACTTTTTTCGCAATTTCCAAATGTTATTCTTGAGATTTTCTTGGTATACGAATTTTACCCCTAAATTTAATCAGCCTCAGTTGTTCTTATTCTTCTTTTTTGAAACATATTGGATAAAAAAAAAATTAATTAAAAATCTAATTTTGAAATGAATATTTGAAAAATTTAACGTCAGCATAAATATTTTAATATTGAACAAAACAGCGCTTTACGCCCCTTGTAAGTTTTATGGGCTATAATCGTTTAAAGTTTGGTCGGGGGGGAAAGAGTGGTGGCAAAGTATATAATTTTATCTCCTTTCACATTTTAACTGCCTCTTTTAAATTTTAAATATAGTTATAGCTTCCAATAACAAACTATTATTTTGTATAATATCGAATATTCATAAATCAATAGAACGGTTTTGCCATTATTTAAAACATAAATTAGGGGTTGTCATCACATGAAAATAACAAAAAAATGTATTATATATTTTTTAACAATATAGGTCCGGTAGTAAACGTTACAGAAATATAAAAATATTTATATTATATAACATCAGATAATTTAAAATATTAAAA